ATGTGATGCATTAAATTAGTGACATGGTACCCTATAATGAGGAAAAAACCTAGTTTATAATAATAGATAGATAGATGGTACATCTTTTCTTGTTAAGTTACCATTTAATACATTTCCCACCTAATCACGTTGGGTTATAGAATTTTCTCGTAATGAATTACATAAAAATTTAAATTTTTGAATAATTTTAATATATGATCTTAAAAACTTTTAATATTATTTTGAAGATTATAATTTAATTTATTTATACGAAAACTAAAATTAATTAAAATTATTTTGATTTTTGTAATCTCAAATTGTTTCTAGTTTGGTAGATTTACAAATTAGTATACAGTAACTTTTTTCCTTACTATTTTACAAAAACTAATATAGATATTTCATTTTTCGTTTTTATTCTTCTGATAATTTTTATATATGATTTCACATTAGGTTAACAAAATTGGTTTAAGTTTGGTTAGATTAAAATAAACTTGATTAAATCTGGAGGAAATTTGCCAAAAGAACTTATATATTCATCTTAAAGATTAATGTGTCTTCCATATTCAATCAAATGCAAAACCAACTTAAAAAGATAGTAAAATTATTATTTAACACTTATGACCAAACTAAAAATAAGAAAATTATTTTACGATTATGTTCTTAAGAAGTGTATACGTAAGAGAAATACATCTACACTGTAGACCTACTAAAAAGTCTACTATATAGACTTATTTTGTAGTTTACATCGTAATTTAATTTAATAACTTAATTTTAAAAATATGTAATAATATTATTAGTCCAATTTTAATAAATCATCAATATAAAAGTTAATATAAATTAAAATGTTTTATAATTGAACAATTTAAAAGAATATATATATTGATTTGGTAATCATGCGTTAGGAAATGTCTATGGTTTAGTGATAAATTGTTCTAACATATTATGTCTTTAAAGAATAGATTCTTAGGTTTATATTTTAGATTGAGATTTTTTTTTTGTTTTATTCAGTTAAATTTGCATATTAATATGGAATAGTTAATATTTTGTATATTATGATATTTGATACAATAATTACGAATTTTTTATATTATCAAGTAAATATTTAGGGTTTGATATTTGTGGTTTAGAGTATAGTAGACATACAATAAAGTCGACTTCACTGTGTAGACATCTTTTTCATTCTGACTTTAGTTGGTGTTTACAAAAAAATCATTATTTTAAAATCAAATTTAGTTCTTTATGAATAAAAATGTGAAATCATATATTATTACTATTGGGAAACAAAGAAAGAAATTGAGTAAATCTTATACTAAAATTAAAAAAAATAAAAGAAATAGAAATAGAATCTCTTTTGATTTTAGGTTTCGATTTTGATTGTGGGTTTCGATTTTGATTGATGTGAAATGTTGTGATGTTCAGTTTAGATTTTGATTTTGATTTTGGGTTTTGATTGAATCTATTTATCAGTTTCAGAAATGGCAAAGACAAGAAGAGGAGGAAAAGTTGGTTCTCGTCGGAGTAGACGTAATCAAGGTTTGGAGGCAGGACAAGTTTATCCAATTCCACAAGTTGCTTCTGCAACAACAGTAAAAGTAAAGAAAAGTACAGCAAAGAAAACGGCTTCTCCAAAGAAGAATTTAGTTCTGACGCCAACGAGAAGAAGTAGTAGAATGAAAAAAATGGCTGCTCAAGATTATGAGGTAGAATATGTAACACCTTCTCAAGATGATGAGGGAGAAGATGTAACAGCTGCTCAAGATGATGAGGTAGAAGATGTTACACCGGAAGATGGTGGTGTGGTGGAAGAAGATAAGGCTGATCAAGCTGAGAAGGCAATGTCTGAAGATGATAAAGATGATGCTGGGATAGAAGGAGAGTATGAAGAAGATGGCGTACTCAATGAGAAAGAGAATGAAGAAGAAGCGGCTGATAAGGAAGACGATGGAGTTCTCAATGAGAAAGGAAACGAAGAAGAAGCTCTCAATATGGAAGAAGATGGAGTTAGCAATGAGAAAGAGAACACAAAAGAAGCTCAATATAGAAGAAGATGGAGTTAGCAATGTTCAAGATGATGAGATTCCTAGTACTGAAGGAGTTGAGCTAGTAGGGGATGTAATGAAAGAAAAAAAATAAAAGAGGAGCAACAAAGATGCGTACAGTGGCTGAAAATCCAAATGAAAATATTATGTTCACATTCAATGACTTTGGTGATCATATTGGACCTGGTTCAATAACACTATTGTCTTTTCTTGGTTCTTTTGTGAGGGAACATGTTCCGGTTACACTTGTTGATTGGAGAAATCTTGATGTAGCGACTAAAGAAAAAATGTGCAAAAAAATTCAAGTTTGTATATCTATATATATAAATATTTATATGTTTTGTTGAACCGCAATATGAAATTATAAACATGTTTGACCTTTGCTTATTGTGATGCAGGGAAGATTTAACTTGCAAGAAGAGTGACAGAAAGTTGTTATTTTCAAGCAGCTGGGAAATTTGTGGAGGGTTGGAAATTCGAGGCTAGTGTCACAAGTACGTGCTGCGAAGACTGCAGCTGAGAGAATAGATTTAAAACCGAGCAACATCCCATCCATTCAAGTGTGGAACTCTTGGGTTAATAGCAATACTACCAAAACTTTCAAAGTGAGTTATCTACAACTAAGTAACTTTCATCATTAAAGGTCATGTCTTATAGATTTAATCACTGTCATATATATATTGTAGGAAATGAGTAACAAGTATAGATAAATGAGACGAAATCAGATTTCCTCACACTACCAGCCGCAAAGGAATGCTTCGTTTAGCTGAAGATGTGGTAAAAGAGTAGTCAAACATCTATATATTGCACAGCTTGTTAGATTATAATGGTACTGATATATGTCTGTTTTTATATAGTAAAAAAGAGTAAAGACCCAACTGGGTGAGTAGAAGTAAGGTATGGATTGCGGGACACACTCATGCTGATGGTAAACCTGTAAAGCTCCAGTTTGCTGAGACTATTGTAATAATTATAACAGTTGTATATTATGTATAATTAGTAGATTATGTCAATGAATTATGTTGTGTTTAAACAAATGTATTAGGAACAAATACAGTCACTTGATAGTCAGATGGACTCAACATCAGCTGATGATAATATAAGGCAAGATGTTGTGAGCAACGTTTTGGGAAAAGACAAACCTGGACGAGTAAGGGGGTTAGGTAGAGGGATTATGGCTACTAAGCTAGCGTTTCTGAAATTTAGAGACGCAAAGATTGCAGAAATGAAAAGTGAGATTGAGGAGTTAAACGGCATGGTGCGAGCTTAGTTGGGAAGAAGGTAATGCTTTTCATTACATTTGGTCAATTAGTTTTAAGACATTTACGATTTCCTTTCCCTTCTCTCTGAAAAGTAATGGTGATGATGAAACACCTGAGAGTAGTGGTGGATTAAAATCAGGAGTCAAAGTGAAAATACTAGATTGGATTGAATCAGAAGATGTTGTTTTTGGTGAAGAAGAATTCTGATCTGCTGGACCGAAGTACAAAATTGGTCGTATACCAATTGGTCCTAATGCAGTGGCTCTCTTTGTGAAGTCTGCACTAAGCTCAGTAGCTTCACTCTAGAGGCCTACGACGGATGTGTTAACTCTTGATGAAGCTCTGGGATACTAAATAGCTTGGCCAATAGATAACGTGATTTTGGATAGGGGTCCAAAATTTTCTGAAGATATATCCATGGTTTTCAAATCTTGTTTTCTTCTTACAACAATTGTACTATCTCTAATCATTACCTTCTTACATTTTAGCAAACCAAGGAAGGTGAATCTCGAAGATGCAAGATATATAATTGGACCAGTGACGAGGATGAGGTTATTGCTGAAGGTCTCGTGTGCTCATCTAAATCCAAAGAGATGGTTAATTAATATACCTCTAGGCCCCAATGCTGTTAGTATTAAATTTGTGAAGGTGTTCAATGTTCAAGCATATTTGTGGAGGCCAACCGCTGATATGTTCTTGATTGGTGAATTTCCTAAATGCTCTAAGTGCTAAGTTTTGTCTCTCTGTCCCTATCCCTCTCCCCTTGAACTCCTTATATAATCCCTCAAAAGTTGGTTTACGCTTTCCACTTCCGCCCTTAAGCCATCATTGCCAAAAATAGAGATTTTCCATTCTTCTCGATCTTCATGATTATCTTCAGAATTTTAACATTTATCCGCGGAAACTTCACATTTATCTTCTCTTGCAGGCCAAGGATAAATCGCCATAGGATCTATGGTCTTTTTAATAAGAAACCGTAAGTGGGCTACTAATCGCGTTCGACCTCTTTGGGCCGTATTTCGACTCAAAACGTTTTTATGGTTTCTTTTTGATAAAAACAAACTTTCCGCGGTTTTTATCATAAAATCTGAACAAAAACTCTGATTGATAAGGAAAGAGCTATAGTTCAAGTGTGCCCTTCGGGAGATTGCATCGAAGAGTAGACGAGAACGTAAGGACTCGGGTTTAAGTTGATCTTTAGGATAGTCTGGTCGCTACGTAGCGACCGAACATATGCATGCTTGGTCGCTACGTAGCGATTGAGCATGTGCGTGATTGGTCGCTATGTAGTGACCAAGCTTGACTTGAGTTCGGTCGTTATGTAGCGATTCCGTCCTTGTTTGGGTTGGGTTTCTATGTAACGACTTGGTTCGTCCGTGGGTGGATGTTTCGCCCGTTTTCTTGTTTTTGTTCGATGTTTGGATGTTAACTTTGTCGTGACTGTTTTTGACCCAACAGTTAGCTCCACAGCCTGTTAGAATTGTAGATTTCTGAGGAGATTCTAGCATGCAGTTTGGACAAGCTGGGAAAGATTGGTGAGTATGGACGAAATTAAGTATCCGAAAATCCATAGACAAAAAAGAAACTTCTCATGCCTATAAGTATGTGGAGTAAACCTTCATATTTCCCACTTGCTTATTTCCATAAGAGAAAATTTCTAGTGAGATACAAATTAAAAAGAAATTTCCCTTCCCTCCTTTTTTTAAAGAAAGTTCGGAAAATGTTTTCCAGGAAGAGGTCTTCGAGGAAGACTGCTGCTCATCCAGGAATACTTTTGAGGTGGAGATCCTTGTTCCGAAAGCTGACTTCACGTCTCGTCCAGACGATCAGGACGAGGTCAAAGCGTACTGGACTGCTAGGTGCGGTCTGATCGTTCCGCCTCTCAAAGCTCCCTTCACCGCTCTGAGCCATCGTGACGTAGAAGCGGGTGTTCCAAGCAGAAGTTCCCATTCATTTCTCAAGATGATCCGTGAGTTTTGTGGGATTTCAGATGGCGTGGAATTCCGAATTCCTCGCCGAGGAGAGAGCGCTGATAACCCCCTGGAGGGATACTTTGCATGTTATGAAGCATTTTTAATACGTTGCCTTCTATGGTTCCCGATTCCAGAGATCGTAATACGGGTACTGGATCATTTCGAGGTAGCGTTAGGACAGATAAACCCCACCAGTCTTCAGCACCTTATTGGCCTCTTAGTGCTTAGCTACGAACACGGTTTTTCTCTCACTGTTGATCACTTTGAGGCCCTCCTTAGGTTGCAGTACGTCTCGGAGCCGTGTACGTATTGGCTGACCCCTCGGAAGTACATGTCGGTGATCAGGGATCCTATTTCAAACTGCGGTCCATGGAGGAAACACTTCTTTTTCGTTGGTATAAACGATGATTCGATTGATGAAGGTTGTATCTCATTGCTTCAGAGCAGATTAAACCCCAATCCGTACACCAATCCCCTCACTCTGTTTCCTGCCGAACTGGTGGCGGCGAGGGACCTCCTAAGGCATGGGCCGTTTTTCTGGTCCTTCTTTACGCCAAGGGAGGTCCGCAGGTCATTGGATCGTTTCCTTTCCGGCTCCCGGGTAGTGGAGGACGTTGATTCGGACTCGGATGATCCTACCCCCCGTCATGTCCCTTCGAGAGGAAAGGAGGGTGAATCGCTCTGAGGCAAAGGAGTTGACCCTGGCAGTATAGAGTTTTCCGTGGACGACTCCGTACTTCCTGGATGGGATCCAAACCTTGCTTTCAGAGACGGCGGTGGTTTGAGTGATTTTCCTCTGCCTGGCTTTGATCGGTTCTTTTCCAACTTTCCTGCAGATCTTGACCCGCCTCCGCCTGTGGAAGAATGGAGAGGCTTGAAGCAGTCTCGGAAGGATCCCGTGGGCTAAGTGATTCGTATGTCTTGAATTTTTTTTTTATTTGACGATGTTGTGAATCATTCTGATGTTTTGATTGTCAGTGCAAGGGCTGAACGTACTTAGCTCGGCCCTTGAGGCGAGCAACAGGGAGGCGATGGTCTACCGCTTCAAAGCGGATAAAGTGGTAATTCTGATGTTCGAGACCTCTGTTGGGGTCAAAATCGGTACAACGGAATTAATAGCCAAAACTCCCCGCGAAAATACCAAAAGAGTAGTTTTATAAAACCCGAGGACTAGTTTTATAAAACTCAAAGTCATTTATAGAACTCGTAGACTGTTTTATAAAACTCGAAGATCGTTCTATAAAACTCGAGAAATCATTTTATAAAACTCGAGAAATCGTTT